GGTTCGCTACTGACACTTTTAAACATTTCTAATGCAAGTGTGTGAACAGCATCCCTACTCCAGTGCCTCCTCTATCCCTGTCTTACACCACTTGCTCTTCTGTCTTTGCATAGGGGTCACTTGCATGAGATATATATACCACCCCTCCTTCACAGATCCTTGTCCGCTTTCCCTGCTGCAATGCTGCCCTCTTATAAGAACCATTTTCCCAGCATGCCTTTGTCTGTCTCTTTAAATATAGCAGAGTCGAGCTGCTGCCACCCTAGAGACACCATTCCGTAGTTATTTACTGCTTGCTGTGCTTCCTGATGAAAAATGCTCTTTACTCTTGCTACAGTTTTCTTATTCTCAAAAGGAAAATGTTTCTCACAGCCCCAGTTTTGATCTAGGCCTCTAAGTGCTGCGGTAATATAAAAGTTCAATAGTGACAGTATGACCTAAACTCACCTATATTTGTTGCAGCAGGTCACAGTCGGATTTCAAAAACACCCTTGTACTAACAGCATAAAATAGTGCTCAAGATAAGGGTGTGTAGGTGGGCTCTGTTTTAAAGTTGTAGTTGAACATGGTGTTAAAAGCAATTCAGACTAAACAGGGCATAGAAAAAAGACCACATTTATTGTTGCAACACAGTATATATATACATACATACACACAGTATATATAAAAAGGTTTTATACACATTGTACAAACATTTACATACTCACTTTGAAGAAGGGTTGTAAAAATAAACACTGAGAAGTAAAAAACCTTAGTCCTGAAATATGAATGAGGTAAAACTTCAATGTTTAGAGAGAATGTGCAGGCCTAAGGATGATAAAGGCCGCTGAGTCATATTTCTTTATTTGCTGTGGGTAGGTTGAAATCCCACCTTGTCTCTACTGGCTAAATCTGAAGGAAAGTAGGTTTCTACTTTCTCTTGACTTCCCTTTCTTAGGCAGTCAGAAAAGGCCACTGGAGTTTATTGTGCTACCCAAGATTGTTACAAGACCTAGGCTACCTCTACATTGGCATCCCTTTCCGGAAAAGGGAAGCTAATGTGACGAGTCGCAATTGCAAATCCGCGGGGGATTTAAATATCCCCTGCAGCATTTGCATTTACATGGCTGCCGCTTTTTTCCGGCTTGGGGATAAGCCGGAAAAAAGCGGCAGTCTAGACTCCTACTTTCAAGTAGGAATAAGAGATCCTCCGGAAAAGGGCTTATTTTCCAGAGAATCATGTCTAGACTGCCGCTTTTCTCTGGCTTATCCCCGAGCCGGAAAAAAGCGGCAGCCATGTAAATGCAAATGCCGCAGGGGATATTTAAATCCCCCGCAGAATTTGCAATTGCGATGTGTCTCATTAGCATCCCTTTTCCGGAAAGGGATGCCAATGTAGACACAGCCATAAAGTTTTGCTATGCAGCACAAACCACGAGATCTAGAAGCAGTTACATTTTTGCTCAATTGGAGATACGGTTTGGGAGATGACTAGCATGTGTGAAAGATGGGAAGGCAGAGAGGACAAAGACTAGATAAGAAAGAAAATGCACAGCCCTCTTCTGTGTGTTGATTTGCACCAATAGGTAGAGAGTAAAGAAGTGTGAAACAAGCCACAAGCATTGGTTCTGAATCTGGATAAGCTTAAGAACCTGAAATGTTTGTAAAAGTTACAGACACCCAGCCAATATTGTGGGGAGCTAATCCCAGAGTTAGTAACAATATACGGAGATACAGGGCAGTGTCCAGCACTGAAACCCAGCACCTTTAAAAAACAAACAGGATGTTTTTACAAATCAGTACAAAATTATAAAGAATATTAGTGACAATACAATGCAAACGCTGAAATGCAGGGGCCCTCTCACCTTTATGACTGGGGTGAAGTAGTTCCCACGACCTGGATGCATCTGAATTTTGTCACAGTTAAAAGTCCCCTTTCAATGCGAGGGAAGTGGCCTTTGGGGGAATCCATTCTCAACAAGGCAGATTGAGCAATGGCAAAGATGGCTTTACTGTGGCCACGTCCACATGGGGAATACCTGTGGGATCCATTTTCTAAGGGGATGGGCCCAGAAAACTACTATCCCAGACTGGCCTCTGGCATCTAACAGTGGGAAGTGTTAACGTAACCAGTGGCAATCATTCTGCATCCTTACTGCCAACACCTAAGTGTGATGGAGGGGCCCTGGAATCTGAAAACAGGCAACCTCAAGCCAGGGGTCTCCTTAAGCCAGGGGTGCAACCGTTGTGTCAGGAGATGGGCACAGCAGGAGGCCAAGAACGGATGGGAGATTCCTCGGTATGAGAGCATCGCACCTTTCCAACAGCTGGAGACCTGAGGAGATGGGAGAATGCCTTTCATCTGAAGAAATTGGAGGAGGGTGCGCAGCTGAAGAAGTCATGGCCAATCTGGCGTGGGTAACCTTCTAGCACTTTCACCTGCACGGGGTCGAACTTCCAGTAAAGCCGGCCTCTCAGGAAATAGGCAAAACCTGTGGCGGAGACAGAGGCGCAGAGATGAGCATCAGAGGAGGCAGAGAAGATGGGGTGTGCGAGGCTCTTCCCTGTCTAGCATTACTACTCCTAGTGTCTGTGCCCCGTAGGGGACTTTATGCTCAATTTGCCAGTAGGCACAAGGGTGGCAAAGGCCCACAGTGAAGGACGGTTCATTAGCGAAGCAGGATGAGGAAGAAGCTCAAGATGCTACAAGATTCATGTCCACTCCACCCAGCTTCTTGACTCCGCAGTGCTCTTTTGGGCTATTTTGTTTTATTACAGTAGCAAACAAAAAAAAATTTTTTTTTTTTAGTTTGTAATATTGTTACAGGACCTGGTTGTAGAAAGATCAAGGAGAGTTGAGAAATCAGGATGAGGCTCTTTATCAGCACAGCAAAGACTTGATGGAAGAGGATAAACTTAAAAAACAACTAATGGTCTGGTAGCATTTTAAAGACTAACAAAACATGTAGATGGTGTCATGAGCTTTCATGACACAGTCTGCATACAGCCCATATAACCCACTTCTTCAGATGACTGGAGTGCTGGATGTCCAGAACCAAAAAAAAGGAGGGAAGATGTGTGGGGGGGGGGGGGGAGGGGAGGAGAAGGAGAGAAGGAAAAAATGGGAGGGGGGAAACAGAGGCAGAGGGTAGATAAGTATCAAAGAGAAAGCTGAGAATGTATGTTACTGGAAAAACTGGAAAACAACAGATAGTCTAATAGCACCTACAAACTAGACAGTTAAAAGAGGCAGATAAGAACCATTAGTTAGCAATAGAGAGGAAGAGAACTAAAACCAGATTCTCACAGACACAAAGAACCATTGGCACCTTCATTGGTTGGTTGGTTGATAATGTCCCAGCCATCCAATATCACGATTTAGACCATTCGCATGAGAATTAAACTTGTGGATGACATGGAGTTCCAATCCTTCTCTGTATTTGGCTTGTGCATTAAACTGTTATTCCTATTTTAATAGATCCTAAAAAACATAAATCTGAGGGCAAAACGCAAGGTTTAAGCATAATGGCATAAATCATCAGAGAAAAATAAGATATCAACTTGATATGTTCTCAAGACATAAAAGATTTTTTATACTGCAGTTTATTATTCTCCAGGAAATTAAGAGAGCAAGCATTAATGTTGCAGTTCTTGACAATATTCTTGCTTAAACCCTGCCCGCGGCTACACGCAGCACAGGCTAGGTAGTTTGAAATAAAGCCCCTAATTTGGACTACTGTTACTCCTCATTGCAGGAATAACGGTAGTCTGAATTAGGGGCTTTAGTTCGATCTACCTAGCCTGTGCTGCGTGTAGCCGCGGGCAGGTGGTTCGAACTACCGGGCATTTAAAAATGGCGGCGCCCAGGAACATGCAAATAAATCCCGGGATATTTAAATCCTGGGCTTCATTTGCAAGTTCGAATGACTACATTAACCACCCTAGTTCAAACTAGTGTGGCAGTGTAGACATCCCCTTAATGAGTGACCAGGTAGATTAAAGTATTCACCAACAGGTTTCTGTATGTATCTATAGTATCATGAGCTTTCATGGGCACAACCCACAGTTTTGCCCATGAAGGCTCATGATACTATATATCTTTTTTTGTTAGTCCCTAAGGTGCCACTGGACTACTCATTGTTTTTAAAGTTACAGACCAGCACGGCAACCCCTCTGAAACGTTTAACCATTTCTAAAATAATTCATAGAAAGGAGAGGATATATGGCTTGACATATCTGTTATATCCTTGGATGATAAGGCTGTGTATTGTCATTGTACCGTTTTCAGCAAGGAGCCCTGCCCAGGGAAATGGTAGACTATTTTCTATATCCAAACATCATTATAAGCAGCAAAATGTTGTATGGCATTCAGTCACCTGTGAATCTTTTTCTTCCTTAACTTTTCTTGTGATTACAAGAGGTTTGGGGAGTCTCTCCATCTCCCCCCTCAAAGAAAGTGGCTGCTGTGTCCAGCATGTGTTTTTGGTTTATGGACTAATGGCACTATTATGGTTTTAATTGTTTGATTACATGATCGTCTACAGAATTTATGGTCAATGCCTCTGATCCATTGCAAGCTTACCTGCACGATCTTGACACAAATTGTAACACTCATGTGCTTATTATATTTCTGTTTGTGGATGAAACATTTGTAAAAGTGCTTCACTATTAATAATCCCGATTAAGGTAAATGTCCAAGTACCACCGATTCCCTTTGTGCCGGAGATGCAGGAATCCTACACATGAACCGGCCTCTCTTCGGAGCTGCACTTACCAAACTCATCCTGGAAAGCAGCGTCAATCTCCTGAGGGATGCCACGCCAGTCAGCCATCCTGCGGGGGTGGAGGGTCTCCACCTGACGGGCGCTTGGGTTGAAGCGCCAGTAACTGCCTCCGTGGAAGAAGTAAATCTTGTTCTGCTCTTTCCCCCACATTAAAGCTGCCTGGACTGGAGAAGCAGAGAGGCCCAGTTCCGAGACCAAAGCAGGGCCAGACACACGTCGCTCGCCATCATAAATCCAGTACTGGGAGCCTGAGGACGGGATAAAAGGAGAATGCATGCTGGCAGGGGTGACCACATGCTGTGTATTGCCTAATAGCCGTAGGGTCACCACCGTGTCAAATGAGGTGTCCATGACAGAAAAACCACTAGCACAGCTGGCGCCTTTGCATGGCCATTGAGAGGCCAGGCAACAAGTGGGCAGGGGAGAACAAACTCTGCTCTCGCCTCTAAGCAGGGCGGAGGCCAGGGAGAAAGCCTGCATAGCTACCGCCTTTGCGTCTGAAGGATGAGCTGGCCTCGTTCTCTAGGGTGGCCGGGCTTGTTACATGCTGCCTGTTCCCCTGTGGTGTGGGAGAGCTTCCAGCAATGGGGACGTGTACAGACACAGCAGTGAGCGGGCTTTGGTTGTTTTTTTAAAGTGGTTATTGTGGGTCGGTGGATCAAAAAGCATGGGGTTTGAATTGGGCTTTGAATGTGCTGAGGGAGGCCAAACCATCCTGCCAGCGCTACATCTATTGAGGCTGCTGAGCTTTTAATCTAAGAGGATGATAATGTCCGGGAGGGGAGGTGGAAAGCTGTGGAGTCACGCTGCCAAAGTACAATCCCTGTCTCTTTTATTCTCCCAGTGCGGGCGCGGTGCGGGGAGAGGGAAGGAGAAAAATGGGCCTCACTTGGGTGTGGGGGAGAGAATTAAGTGAGGAAGCAAAATCCTTGTGCACTGAAAATGTGGGTCTACAACCAGTACTGTCAGGCCTGCCAACTTGGGGTAAGGGAGAGGGCAAAGGGGGCAGCTGTCCCAGAACCTGGGGATTCAAAGGGAACCTGGGCTCTCGTTACTGCTTGCTGGAGCAGCAGCCAAAGCCCTTTACCTCTCTGCAAGAGCACTGCTCCATGAGCTCTGGGCTGGGGGGGAATGTGTGCTCTGTGCTCTGGACAGTGCTGAGGGGTGGGAGCATGGAGCCACACCCCCCACCTTGCCCAAGGAGGCTTTTGGCTCCGCTAAGTATTGTAGTGCCTGAAATTAAACATCCTCTTCTGTGGGACCACATATAAACCAGCTTCATGCTCCCGCTGCAGTGAGCTGTCCACATGGGGCCATCAGCGACGCTGCGGCATAAACAAGCCAAACACCAGCCCTGCGAATGTCAAACTTCACTAGAAAGAGAAACACAGGAAGGCAGGGGAAAAAATGGGGGAGAAAACCCCTACCCCTAAATGAGAGGAGGGGAAATGGTTTTATGCTTATTCTTACTGCAGTATTGCAAAGTGTGGGAAATGGAAATTAAATTTAAATTAATGAAGCATCCTTGAGAGGGCTCTTTTAATTTGTTTATTTAACTTCTGAGTGTAGCTAGGAACCCTTCAGCAAACTATTGCTTTCTTTAAAAACCTCATTGCATGTTTCCTTGTCACTCACTGGAAATCTACAGCTCCCTGTGGCAAAAACACAAAACAAATACCCGTTTTGGGTTATAGCTACTTGTAAGAGAGATTGTCCAGGCTGTGGTGGAGGAAAGGAGAACCACCTGTAAGTGGTTCAGTGTAAGAACCAACTTCTGTGCTGTGGGCATTCAGTCTGCACACAACTGGATCCCATTTCTGGCTGGCCCTTAGGCACTACTGTAATGAACATGATTAATAATACAGTACATCTGTAAGTGTGCATGTGTGTTTAAGTGGGAAGTCTGGAAAAATGAGCAAGAAGTTGTCAAAATAAAATAACAGACAAAAATAATATCTCGAGTTTACATTAAAAGTGCAGTCTTCACTACTCCTAGGCAAGTAATGGTTTCTTGAAGCAACACTCCATACCACTGACCTAGTTAAAATCCTGCCAGTTTTAGCATTCTTAAACTTCTGTTTGCAGATCTGTCTGGATAAGTAGCACCTCTCTAGACCGGCACTCCCTGGTCTGGCAATATCCGTGGTCTGGCATGATGTCCGTAAGCCCGATGTCCACTTGTCATGAGTGCGGCCAAGTTTCCTGTTGTCTCAAAGTTTCTTTACAGCCACCTTTCCTGGCTCTCAGAGTTCTGCTATTTAGCTCTGATTTACCCCCTCAATGCCCAGTGAGCAGTGGAAGAATTGGCAACGCTGCTAGACAATATTGACCTCCCCTGGTTCAACACATTCTCTGGTTTGGGACAATCGGATTCTGGCTGCTGAGCCATTTGATAATGGTCTGTGAGACAGTGAGTGATGATGTAACACGCATACACACAAAACTGGGCAACAAAACCTGACCAGCCTCTGGATTTTCTCTCCATAATTTAAACTTGGCAAGAGAGTTAAAGAGAACAGCAAGTGTTTATTCAGGTGAAGCAGGGAAAACTGTTGTTCTTGGGATCCAGAGATTCCCCAGGAACACAATTTGGTGTCTGCACTGTTTTTTAAAGTCACTGCACTTAGCAGAGGATGCGTATCTGGCTGCAGGCAGCAGCCCGAGGAATGCAAGGATCTTGTTTAAATTCTGGGCTCTGGTCCAGCTCTCACAAGCCCAGCCCCTGTTGTAACAGGAAAGAAGCTGTGCAGATGCTTTGCCCTGGTTGCAGGCACCCCAGGAACTCATGTTAGACTGAGAATATTGAAAGTGCACCAGGCCTCACTTCTTGCACCACCTTTCCTTGGACAGCTGCTGTGTTCCCTTAAGTGGCTGCTCAGGAGAAATTCAGGTGCCACCCAGCAGAGCGCCCACAGCCAGCAACATGTTTTTCTAGTGGTAGTGCACATCTGCACATGCCTCGGTGCACAGAACACAATTTATTCTGCACACAAATGGAAAAATGAGTGGGAACATTGGATGGCTGGTGCAGAAAGTGGGTGGTAAGGCTGTTGCTTGACAACCATCATGTTGGTAAGCCTGTATCATGCTGGAAGCACAATAAGCCTGGCTTGCCCCGCACACCGTTTGGGGTGGGGAATGTTCCTTGTACCCCTCCCCCCACAGGGGCACATAGAGGCTCCCTACGATCTAGTCCTATGAGTGTTGGTTACTAACGAGCTTATGCTGGTTTGCAAATTGCACTGTGCATTTGTGAGCCCTTGCATGGAAAGCAGGACTGTCCCGTAACGCCCAGCGAGTGCTTCCAGCATGTCACTGCACTGGATTGAAATACAGACTGCTGGGAGAAGGATGGAACTCACTGCAGGTTTAAGCCGTCTTTGCCCCGGCTCAGGACTTACACTAAAGTACTCTGTGACCAGACCAGAGAACTGGGGCCACTGGCTATAAAACGTGAAAGTGACCAAGCTTAGGATTTTATCTGGAATGAAATGCAGGAATAAACAAATACCCATCAATAGTGGAGAATCAGTCAGAGCCCTTTCTGTTCAATATGCTTGATTTGTTTCTAAGTAATGGAGGGGAGTCTTAGGAACCCACTGGGCAATGACACTGGAAAAAGAGCTGGCTTGCTCTTCCTCACCCGTTTTCACACCCACAGGATAGGCGCTAAGGGTTGCCTTCATGCATCATCTCTGAGCGAGGCACGGTTTCAGATCTTCTAGGCCGACACGGGGCAGCAAATAATTGCTCCCATTCCAAAGAAGAAAAGTTTGATATTTGGCTTTGTCTAAAATGAAAGTGAACCCCCCTGCTCCCACTCAGGGCAACTGCTAAAATATTTAAACTAAAGAGAGAGGAAAACAAACAAAGGATCAATATATGGAGAGGGGAGCAGGGTCTTGATGCTGCCCTGGAACCTCTTGGGTCTTGTGTCCCCCACCCCATACAGGAGTTCGTCCTTTCTAGCCCTCTGATCCCGTCTCTGTTCTCACTTACCTTGGAAAAACCAGATATTGCCTCGGGAGTCCTCAAAGGCTGCGTCAACAGAGCCTGGAATTCCCTGCCAATGGCGAGAGGCCAGGGCCGGGTAGCCGGCCTGCAGCTTCCCATTCCTGAGCCGCCAGACGTAGTGCGACTTGAAAAAGAACAGCTCTCCCCGGATGGTGGAAACAGCGTCAAAATCCGTGTCGCAGGCATCAGGCTGCATAGACTGAGAACACCGTACGCCAGTCAGGTGCTGAGTTCCGTGGGGCCTCCTGCCCTGGTGCCAAGCATGGGGGTTACCCTGCCCTGGCCCCATGCCTCGCCCGAGGAGACTGCAGATAGTCGCTGCAGACAACCGGCTCTTTCCCCAATAGTATGTGCATCTTCCCCATGCGCCAATGATTAAGACAAGTGCTTGAATCAAGACGCTTAGGGGCGAGAAGGAGCTTTAAACAGCAGAAGCCTAAGTCATCCTTGGTGTGGATTATTGCATTGCCTGCAGGAGGTTTGCACTGGGGCGATCAGGACTCTGTGGCTCTTGATATGGACTGGTTTCTTAACATGACAGGAAGCCTGCCCTGGCTACAACCTGGCGTTGCATGTGCAAGGGCCGTGCCAGCTTCCCCATGCAGCCCCGCTGGTGAGTCTGTCCTGCTTGGAGATACCTGCCTCTGCTGACACGGATCTCCTGTGCACAGGGCCTGGGGAGCTGCCAGTGAAAAGCGCAGACTAAGAGCGAAGTATTGTTACCACAGCAGTCCTCAGGCCCCTGAACCGGCTCCGCCAACAGACTCCACTGCCCTTGCAAGGCAAGTCTTGCACTCCTCTTCCCCAGGAGCTGCCGCACGTGCTAACGTGAGCCACGCTGGGAGGTGGGCGGGGGTTCAGCCGTTATCAAACCCCTTTCCCTTGCATCCAAGCCTGGAGTAGCCAGCTCCCAGCGCAGCGAGACTCCCACTGGGTCCCTACGCTCCTTGCTCCTTGCTGTGGTTCCCCAGAGCCTCACTGGGGGGGGGGGGGGCACTCTAGGAGACTAGCTGGGGCTGCCTTAGTGCCATCGGGGTCACTTGGTGATCGTGGATTCGACACAAGCGCTGTTGGTCACTCACCCCCAGGTGGCTGATCTCGTTCGTTTCAATGTCTGGCGGGCTGGGTTCCACCTTCTCCGTCGGGGCTGGCAGGAGTCCGCCCTTTGGTTTCCCATAGAGGTGCTGGATGCCTTGCCTGTCGTCCTCACTCAGGCTCAGCGGGTAGCGGAAGGTGGGGACGGCCGTGTGCGGCAGGCCCAGGACGTGGCCAAACTCATGGGCAGCCACTTGCAGGAGGTCAGTCCCTGCACAGGGAAGAAGGGGCCAGGGTTGTTCCGTGCGCTGGAGGAGAGCCGGGAGGCACAGAGCGCTCACTGTGTGCTCCGTAGGATGGGACCATAAAAAGGGAAATGTGGTTTGCCGGGTTGCTACACACGTCCCAAGCACATGGGGTCCACGGGCCCAGCTCCCCGGAGAGTCTTCCCCCTTGCGTGTGAAGGGACGATTCTGCCGGCCCCCAGGAAGCAGGCACTACAGAGGGGTCCACTACATCAGCTTTGCAAAGTGGGGTGCATCTTTCCTCGGTTAGCCACACGCACGGCGGGGGTCCCAGCAAGACACCATCCTGCGGAACAACTGGTGTGACCAGATTGACCGCGCCGGGCACCACCCTGAGAACAGCAGTTGCCAGCAAAGGCTGCTACCCAGGCAGCTGGAGATGACCACAGACTGCTTTTGGGTGGGTTGCCGTGAGCGCATGAAAGGCCCAATAAACTCTGGCGTTTTCCCTCCAGACTCTAGCAGGTTTAAGGGAGGACGTGCTTAGGCATAAACTCCTTGAAAATGCCTTTAAAGGGAACATAAAGGGATTTACGGATGCAGAAACAGTCCCCTCTTGGGAGATCTCATTTAGTTCCCAGCTGACTTGCTGCAGGTTCTAAAATTCTAGGAGAAAAGAAGAACTTAAAAGAGCAAATCAAGCAAGAAAGACGCTGAGGAAAGAGTCCTGATGTTTTCTGAGAAGTCCAAATGCAGATTAATTCTTCTCTGCTTTCAGTCAGAAATTGCCAGGTTGCAGCCCAATGGGAGAAGAGTCAGCTAACAGAGCAAGTGCCTCCCTCCCCCATGCTCTGACTGGCCAGGGGAAGGCCGGAGCTGATTTCCCGGCTTACTTGGGGGAGCACAGGGAATGCATTCATACCCTTACAGTCCATAGTTACAAAAAAAGCACACACCCCACCCCAGAAAGTCCTGCGAACAGGCCTGTGATGGAGCTTGGCAAGGTCTGATTCAACAAGTTTTCAAGTGCTCCTCTAATACAGGATTAATTAAGAGCAATATATTAGGACATTTTTCAAATGGCTTATCTAACTTGTGAGAGAGTGGAGAAAATTGATTGCACATGTTCCCAGATTCTCCCATTGGAAAAACTAGTGGGAAGTACCCCAGACATTGCAAAAAGTTACTGGTGATTTATTATCTGGTGTTGGAGTGTTCTTGATGCTCTACAGACAAAAAGCCAGTCCTTGGCTGCAGCGAGTTTACAAACTGTCAGTAAAGTAGAATGGGGAAACTGCCGTGGGCTTCAGTGTTTGTAGGACTGAGCCTTAATACGGACCCAGGCAAGGCAAGATGTACAGGGATATACCCTGCAGGGAAGTGTTAGCTTAGCTGTTTTCATTTTCTTCTCCCTGTCAATCCTGTTGGCATGGAGAAGGATGAGAGCCGTGAGTTACTGTCTGAGCATCTTGCAGAAGAACTGTGGCCTTCGGCAGTGATCTGGCTAGATCCCACGACACCATATGTATTTAGGAAGGTGTTGTGACGTCGATCTCTGAACAATACACTGGTACCCGCCTGGCTCTGTTATTAAAATAGTCAAGGGGCTCCCCCAAGTTAACCATGACAAGTTGTTTGGAGTCAGCGTATTCCCAGGCCAAAGGGAGAGGCTAGCAGCCCATGTGGTTTCCCATTAGAGGCGTTCAGGAAGAAAGGTTTTGGAAACAGATGGTGACTCTGAGATCTGCCTGTTATACTGGAGCCGGGCAGAGAAACACTCCCTCTCAGCATTGTGGGCTTCCTTTCCCTTCATCTCTCCCCCGCTTTATTTTCTAACTGGCTCTGTGGGTGACCTGGTGTTAGAACCCAACTTAACTGCGCCTAGATCTTCATTCCTCTTCCTTCTGAATTAAATGCTTTTTTAATTTATCTATGGCCATCTCACCCCTGCCCCTCAGAAACATTTCTCCCCCTCCCCCGCCATGCCTCTATCTGAATCGACAACACACCTAAGTTGTTCCCAATCGTCCAGGTCTCATCGTAGTCGAAATGGACGTCTCCCTCACGGTGTGTCTTGGGGAAGAAGGCATGCGCCAGGATGCCTCCCGGCCCGTCGAAGGGCAGGTTATCACCATGCCAATACCTGGAGGGCAAGCACAGTGCAATTCAGTGAAACTGTAAGTAGGCAACTTGGGGGAATCTTGAGAACAGCATCTCACATTCTCCACCATCTTGCGGCCTCCCATCCCTGCACACCTTGTAAGGCGTCCACACCCTCCACACAAGCCCTGCGCCTTCGTGCAAGGCTGTAGAAACTAGTAGTTTCTCATTGGGTTTATTCCTTCCTCGGTAAAATTCAGGTGAAGATAAGGTCGCCAGGTGTCCGGTTTTGAACCGGACAGTCCAGTGTTTGAGCTTTCTGTTTGGAAAACAAATTGAGAACATAGAATTGTCCGGTATTTTCTATGGACAGATGGAATGTCGATTGTGATGTCAAGTCAAGTGTGTCCAGTATTTTTGTTGAAACCATCTGGCAACTCTAGGAGAAGGCCATGAAATTCAGGTGAGGGCCGTAAAATTCAAGTGAAGGCTGATCAAGCTACCAGTATTAAGGCAGCAGAACTGAACTGAAGAAAACACATTTAAACTTTTTGGACCAAATCCTCAAATCCTCACTCAGGCTCAACTCCTGCTGACCGAGGAAGCCCTGGCTAGAGATGACCAGTGCAGAGAAGAGTAGACAAACTCCCTGAATACAGCCCACATCCTCACTTGGATGGGTTCCACAATTCCTTTTATTAGCTTTGTGTAAATAGTCATTGGAGCCAAGGTTTTGCTCCTGCAAATATTTTTCAGAAAGTGAAGCTCAGGCCTGGCGTCAAGATTTATTTAACGAAGAAACTAAAATTTGTTTTGGGGCCAGAGGTCAGGTCATTCAATCCTGGGAGAGACAGAGGAGCTGGAAGCCGTCAAAACAAGCTCTTGGCCAATGATCCCTGGCTGACGAGTGGTAGCATAAATTAATCAGTGAACAATTTAAATAAGAAGCAAATTAGTAACGTAATTTGTGATAGGGTGGCACTGAAGGGCTGCAATACACGAGATGCTGCACACACATATTACAAAACAATAGACCTTGCCCAGGCAGCCTGCTATAAAAAATAAGAAAACAAAAGTTTGAAACCAGAGCATGGAACTAACTTCAATGAATAAATAATGTGCTGCCACTTGCGTGACCACCTCTCGTGGGGACTTTGGGCTCTGTCCTTTCCACACGACGCCCCATGGGGGAAGAGAGGTGTTTCCTTTTGGGTCAGAACAGCTTCTCTCTCCGTGCTCACCGTGTGAAATCAATCACTATGTCGGCTCGGCCCTCGTGCACTTCGGTGAAAGTTAATGGTGTCACGTCACTCCAGACTTTCAAGGCTTCTGCAATGGTCCGTCTCACTTTAGTGTTTACAAGTTGCCATGGGAATCTTATAATTCTAAAAAGCAGGAGATTGAATGTTTAGAGATAGGAAACCCTAAAAATGTCACAGTGGCCCTACTGGGTCAGACCAGTGACTGCTGTAACCCAGTAGCCTGTCTTCCAACAGTAGCCAGTGCCAAATACTTCAGAGGGAGGGGAACAGAACAAGACAATTTATCCAGGGTTCCATCCCATTATCCAGTCCCAGCCTCTAGAAGTCAGGGGTGTAGGGACACATGCAGGACCCGGCTCACTCTTACCTGCTGTCCCAGTGTTGCCCCAAATTTTCAGGTGCCCTACACAGCTGTGGGTACTGCGGATGCGTAGGAACGACCCTAATTATAGACATTAGCAGCAGCAGGGAGTGCCACTGATACCTTAAAAAGGGACGTGAACATCAAAATCACCTTCGCCCACATAGTCACTGTCACAGTGGGCCCCGGATCAGCGCACTGAACCCTGAGTTCACCAACAGCTTGTTGTCAGTATTCACGTCCTCTACGATGCATTTGTCGCCACCACAGTAGGGATGTAAAATTTCGATTTACTGGCTAATCGAATAGTCGATGCAATTCGCATCGACTGTTTGATTAGTCGATAGGGTGCCTCTGCCTCTGAAGTGTAGCAACAGCCCCAGGGGACTCAAGCAGTCCCCCACTGGCCCCGGGCTCCCTGTGACGTTTCAAAGAGGCAGTTCCACATGGAGCCCGGGGTCTGGCCCCCAGCTCCATGCTTAATTCTGAAAAGTTGAAAAGGGTTCCATGGCTAAGTAAAATTGAGAAACACTGGATTAGCCTGTCGACTAGTCATTCACATCCCTACACCACAACCACCACTGAAATGGCCATTAAGCAAATGCGACCCTATCCATCTTCTTTACAGTCCACACTAATTCCATCTAGTGAGTCTTCTGCATTGAATGTTGGTCATTGCACTGGCTGCAAATTGCCATTTCAGTAGGACCACAGGGAATGTCCTCTCCACAAATTTCACCATCAGCTTTTTGTTATTACCAACAATCTCCCATGCAGCAGTGGTTTGCCCCGGGGCCATGTTAGCACAGTAACAGACCTGGACTTTGCCTGCTGAAGAGGACACTCTAGAATTGCTTGGGTTCTAGCACACAGGATACCTGGCTGAGTCCAAGGTGGTGCAAGGAGTTCTGCATAGGTGATTTTGGAACGGCTTTGCAGACACAGGGTATTTTTTGCTAGGGCTTTGGAGATAGAGAGGGAGGCTGTTTGGTGCCTGTGCTAGAGTGGATTGCTGCAACACTATCTGGGAGGGGTATAACCAGAGAATATGAGAATGGGAAGGGACCTCGAGAGATCATCAAGTCCCATCCCCTGCCCTCATGGCAGGACCAAGCCTCATCTCGCATTAGGGGTCGGCAGCCTTTTCAAAGCAAAGAGCCAAACTACACCCAAATTCAGAACAAGTGGTCGGCAAAGAACCAGTATCTGAATGCCCAATGGCACGACTGAAAATACACAACTTAACTTTACTGATAGCTGATATAATGTTTAAGAACAGCATCAATGAAACATTGTACTCACAGACTTTATTTAATGGGACTTCTGCTGCTGCTGGGGGTGCAGTTTAAGAACATAAGAACAGTCAGACTGGGTCAGACCAAAGGTCCATGCAGCCCAGTGTCCTGTCTGCCGACAGTGGCCAGTGCCAGGTGCCCCAGAGGGAGGGATCACAACAAGTAATCCCCATGTGATCCTCCCCTGTCACCCACCTTTAGAGAAACAGGCTAGGGGCACCACTCCTACCCATCCTGGCTAATAGCCATTGATGGACCTAACCTCCATGAATCTATCTAGCTCTTTTTTGAACCCTGTTAAAGTCCTAGCCCTTACCACATCCTCTGGCGAGGAGTTCCACAGGTTGACTGTGCACTAAGTGAAGAAAAACTTCCTTTGGTTTGTTTTAAAACTGCTACCCAGTTTGTGGATGGGGGGTAGTGTTGCAAGAGTCAGGGTGGGAGTTCATGAGGGGCTCAGGGCAGGTGTTTGTGGTGCGTGGGAGGTGCAGGAAGCAGGGCAGGGCAGGGCACTGGGTGTGGTGTGACCCTAAGAAGTCCCTGCTGACCCATCCCAGCACCATTCAGTATTACAATACACTCATCCCCACCATAATCACCACTGTTGCCACTAACACCACTGGCCCCTGACCCTGAAAATCACTTGCCAGCACTGTCTGTTGCTACAGCCTTGGGGAAACACAAACGGGGCTGTCCTCTAATCACTGGAAATCCCTGGGCTCCACATTTTTTCAGGAAGAACGTCTCTGGCACGAAAAAGAGGGGATTTTGCGCAAAAAAGAGTAATCTACACAGCCCATTTTTGCACAAAAGCCTCTTGCGCAAAAGCGGCTGCTAATTAATTATGCAAATGAAGCACCGCAATATGCCATTTCATTTGCATAAGCTTTTGCAGAAGAAGGCTACAGTGTAGCCGTAGCCTGGGGGTGCGCGTGGTGCCCGGCACAGACGGGTGCGTGTGAGTAGCGTTGAGTGGCTATGGAGGCTGTCACATCGACAGTGAGCATGTGTGTTGTGAGACAGTGTGGGGCTGTCAAGGCTTTTTCCCCACTCTGGCATGATGAATGCAGAAGTGGGGGCCCACAAAAGCACCCCAAAACCTGATCTTTGCAGGCTTTCATATAAAACTTCCCCCCAAAATCTTAAAACCCTAGATTTTGGGGATAAAAAAATCCACTGCTACCATCAAGTGCTTTTGAACCCACAACTGGGGATGGACACTTGAAACCAACCCCAGGGTATCCCGACCTCTTTTCTCCAAAGAGCTTGAAAAAGAAAGAGAAAATACAAACTGCAGCCTGTGGCTGCTCTCCCCTAGTCAGAGGCTTGCAGATCCCACAGACAGATTCTCCAGGACACAGAACTGAACCAATACCGGGTTAATAAAGAAGGAACTTTTATTATCAGAACAATACTCCTGTTACAAGCATAGTTGGCTTGGCTAGATGGTAAGAGCCACCAATTAATAAACTCATGGGGAATTTTCCCATGGGAACAAACTTAGTTACAAAAGAGAGAAAACCCCATTTCTAAATGCACAGACATCAGATTCCCATCCCCAAACCATAAAACAATAAAACCTAAAGGATTTATCTAGACTTTGCCCTACTTACAGATAGTGAAGAGTCTTTTCTTGGAGGGAGACATGTTGTCTGTCCCCCTCAGTATCTGGAGAGCAACTGCCCTGAGACAAAGGAGGGAAAAACCCAACAATTCTTTTGTCCCAGTTTGAAATTCCTACCTGCATTCCTATTGGCCAACTCTACCAGGCTTAGGTATAGTTAACCCCTTAGTCCCCAGGCTGCTGGCCTCATGATCATGACAGGGCATAAGCTTTCCTGGGCAAAATCTACTTAATTGGATAACTGGAGAAGAAATTACAGAGGCAAATGCAGGAGGGTTCTTACTTGTAGGTGAGGTCTGTCTTCTCCCAGCGTCCTCCCGACAGCACGAACCGCTTCTGCCGGTTCCGCCCGGTCTGCCCGTCTGGCAGGGCAGGGAGGTCCGGTACGCCGCAGCGGGGTGGGTTCCAGATTGCTGCTGGCCCCGCGGTGCCCCTGGAGAAGCCCTTGACAGAGACACCAGTCTCCATGGTATTCACCAAGGAGGAAATCCAGGGGCTTTGCTCCTTCCAGGCATGGTGTTTCCGAGGCCCATCCTAGACAAGAGACAAACAGGGCTGTGACTTTCACAGATGGCAGGAGGGAGCCTGGCCCATCGCTACACAAACCTGCAGCTGCCCCCCCTTCCAGCCAGCGCACTGGCCCCTCCTGATCTCTCTGTCAGGTGCCTCCTTTCTCCTCTCCAGACTGTGCAGCATCCCCACCCTGGTCTTGGTTCTCTCCTTCCCCTGGGCTCTGCTGCTCTCTGGGAAAGACACAGCGGCTCCTGGCCCGTGGCCCCAGTGGGAAATGCTTTGGCAGGAACCAGAACCTTGGGGGGGAAAAGCAGGAGATTGCTAAACAGTAAATCCCCCCTGCCTGTCTCTTTTCCCCACTTGGCTGCTCAGGAATCAGTTTAACTACGCACCTCCCCTTCCCCCCTGCACTTGGGACAGAAGCATCTCTGAGTCCGGACACTGCGTAGGAAAGTGTTGGTCTAGGCGGGGATAAGGCAGAAGAATTCTGTGTAAAATCCCTTCCTCCCAGCCCTATGCTTAGGCTGTTCCACCGCCCTTCTCTCACAGTGGCCGTCTGCTCAGCTCTCTCCCTGGCAGCCCAGCCTGGCTAGATAGTAGCCCCCCTGCACTTGGGACAGAAGCATCTCTGAGTCCGGACACTGCGTAGGAAAGTGTTGGTCTAGGCGGGGATAAGGCAGAAGAATTCTGTGTAAAATCCCTTCCTCCCAGCCCTATGCTTAGGCTGTTCCACCGCCCTTCTCTCACAGTGGCCGTCTGCTCAGCTCTCTCCCTGGCAGCCCAGCCTGGCTAGATAGTAGCTAATCCATTATAGTTCATACATTCAGGTAGGCAGTGAGGCCTAGTGGATAGAATAGTGGACTAAGACCTTGTGGCTGTGTCTAGACTGGCCAGTTTTTCCGGAAAATCAGCGGCTTTTCCGGAAAAACTTGCCAGCTGTCTACACTGGCCGCTTGAATTTCCGCAAAAGCACTGACGATCTCA